TCACAGGTGACTATGTCTGTGATACTAACAATGTTTTATCTTCATTATCTTATAGCCAACATGTGATAATCATGATGATAACGAGACACTAGCTATCATATTATGCAATATGTGTGGTAATCTGTGTGCGGACTGTGATAGGTTTTTACATTTACATAGAAAGACAAAGTCGCATCAGAGACAGGTAAGACTGCTAAACCACCTCAGTGTTGTCAGGTATAAGTCGTTGCAGTTGTTCATGTTTTGTGTATGTTCATAGTGACTGGTTGGATTCGCACCCAAAGATAAAATAATGGTATTGTTCATTGCATTTATTAAATAAACATGTATGTGTGCAAGGGGTTCTCTTGAACTAAATTCTATAAAAGTCAATGACTCTCTGCCTACAGAACATCAGCGAAAATTCTACATGTTTTAGCCCCATTCCAAAGCATAGGTTAAGCAATTGCTGTTTCCAGACCTTTCTTTAGAGGGAACTGTGTGTATGATGATGATGCAAGGTATTATTGGCAGAGAATGACATCAATCATAAAATTATTTCACTTGTAGGTTTTCAAGGAAGAAGAAGAGTCTATCAAAGTAGATTTACATGAAGGTTGTGGTCGAACTAAACTATTCTGGGTCATGACATTAGCTGACTCTAAAACGCTGAAAGCTATGGTCGAATTTAAAGAAACTGGTGCTAGTAAGTATCATCTTTGAATATATGATGTTGTACTACATCGTTCAATCCATTAGATCTGGTAAAATTGTACAGACGTCTATGTTGTCATCAGATGCATTTGACGATGTCCAATTTTCCATTTGGGTTGGCTGATTTTGTCCGAACAAATTACTGTGACCATTTTAAGCAGATTTAAATCAGCAACGTGCATAGTTTTTGGAATTTATGTCATGTGTATGCATTGTAGTTTAATAAGGGCTTACAATCATGTCTTTTCTAGATAATTTAGAACTGATGAGCTAATAGACCTGTCATCAATATTTTTGTCGATGTTCCCTTTGATTCAAAAATGGCTACAGTAAAATGTCTTTATAATTTCATTGATGTTTGGTTTAGGCACATTCCACCACATTATGTTACTACTAGATGGATGGTTTGATATCATTGTTGTTTGTCTGCAGGTAAATCATCCAGTGGTAGTAGTCCTGGATACTGTCGGTTTTGTAGCAGTGGACACAATACTGGCTTATTACCTGTGGGGTATGTCTGCAGTGATCCAGAATGCCAGGTAAAATCTAAAATTCCTTGTCCTCTAACAACTGTGCTCCGGCATTTATTTGAGAAGAGGTAACTTGCTCGTCAATAGATACAAGCCACAATATGTTGTGAACCTCTTGTTACCATATCATGTTATGTTACACACTGTTAGAATATAACGACATTAATATTAGAACATTGAAGATGCACCATTAGAGCAAGATAATAAAAACCAAGGATTTCCTAGTTTCTGCTCTGTTTTAGAACAGATGCAAATCTCTTTGAATCCATGCACTCTGTTCAAAAGTGTTAGCAAGGAAATCATAATCAAATAAAAAAAACAAATCAATTTAGACACATTAAAGGCATTAAACTTTGAACATTTATTGTTGCACAATTTGTGAAAATTCAGCTTTAATATCAGATATTTCACATAGTCCCAAGGCTGCAATAAATCTTTGTATATGCTCTTAGAGTGCTACTTTACTTTATTGAAGTTGTTTTTATGAAAATGGTATAAGCTAAAGTATAGTATCGTGCATGCTGTTAAATGAAAGGTTTCGGCAAATGTATAATGATGATATTGTTGTGTAATTTCTATCAACCCATTGAGTGATACTTTTAACTATTGTACATCACAGGAACATGCCAAACATGCATGTATCAAGACATTACCATGTGGTCATCAATGTGGAGGTATTATCAATGAAGATAAGTGTCTACCATGTTTACATGGCTGTAAAACAAAGGATGGTATCAAACTAAAACAAGATGGTGATGATATGTGTATGGTGTGTTTCACAGAAGCTTTATCCGCTGCACCAGCTGTTCAGGTAAGTCTTTCCACTCTCTGTCAATAGTTGTACAGTAGTTGTACAGTAGAATTGAAATTACTTAGACATTTATTTTGTGGATACTAGTAAACAATCAACAATAATGTTCATACTTCTATGAAAATTTATAAATATATATATTCAATCTGACTACCGGTAATGTGTACAATTTGTCTGCTGTCAGACCAGGATACTAATAAAATCTAATATAA